AAAAACATGTATCCATTAGTAATTTCTCCTATGATTATAAATTTGAATATAAAAAAAATAATGACTAATGAAAGTAAATATATAATCAGTTTGTTTTATTAGTTTACTGTACTTTTTTACTGATTTGTTGACACATCAAGGGAGAAATTATATATTTGCTTTGTTTTATAAAGATATATAATGACTCAAAAAGTGAAAGTCTGTTGGTTGTTTTCCATTTTAATAAATTTAAGGATTTATTTATTTGTTTCATTAAGTTCAAATATTTTCTTTATTCGAAAGAACACATAAAAACTTAGTAAGATATAAAAGTGTCAGCGTTTGGTTAACATAATGGAATCTGTAGAAGAAATTGAAATTTAATCAGGTTTGATCATGTGTTTGGTTGACATGAATTAGAATGACACTTGTCACAAAAGAATTGAAATTTGTTTGTTTGGTTATCTAAATATAACTTTAGAATCGTAATAAAACTTGTGATAAATTACCAAAAGAGAAAAGTCTGAAAAAACCCAATAAACTATCTGATTTTGAATGGTTAAGTATTTAAATTATTATTTTTGAATGATAAAACTCTTAAACTTTCTAAAACTGGATAAATAGATTATTGTGACCTCTAAAACAGGTTAATGCGATAAAAATTTGGGAAAAGTCTAAAAAAAACCATGATTTTAAATGATTAATTCTCTGAATTTTTTTTAACAAATAAATCTCTACACTTTTTCCCAATTCTTTTTACCAAAAAAATTCTTGAACTTTTTTTGAACAAATAATCTCAAACTTTTTTTGATGAAACAAAATCCTGAACTTAATTTTGAACAAATAAATCCAACTTTTTTTGAACAAAAGAATATATACAGTACCTCTAAAAGAGAACAAAGTAAAATGAACCAATTCAATAGAAAAATACTGTATCATTTCCACTACTAATTCGAAACATTCAAAAGTTATGCCGAAAATATACGTTCATCCCACTAATCGGAATACACCAAAAGTTATTTCATTTGCAATAACAAAGTGATGCTAATCTAAAGTACGAGTGTCATCAACCGTTTGACTTTCATGTACACCATCAACCTGACCTTTATCACCAACATCTAGATCCACCACCATTGCTTCATAAAGGTTTCTTGTTTCAAACACATTTCCACCGCTAGGAATAATAGTTTAAGGACTAAATTATTCAAAATTAGATAATTTGGTGGCGAAGATGGTGACAACGCTGGTGGCGACTGTGATGGTTGTGGCGACGACAGTTATAGTGGTGACAATGGTGGTAGACGCGGCGATAACAATAAAGACGATTGTGGTGGTGATAATCACATGATACAGTGAAATAGATTAAAGTAAATATAAGAGCAGATTTTGACAGGTTCGAGCTCATGCCAATCTGGCTTTTTGTAGATACAATAAATTACTTGAACTCACAGAGTAATTTCAACATTTAACATATCATGTCTTTTACATACTTTTATTTAAAATAAGTCTAGTTTATAGTTTTTTTTTTATTGTTTGAAAAGTTTAATATTATGATAATTTTAATGTTCTCAGATTACCGTTGGTTTTTTGAAATATGGGATGAAGGGTCATTTCATTAGTTGTATTCAATTAATGTGAAGTTGTCGAAAACAAAGTCCTCAAATTCATTCAAGATTCAAAAATGAACTATTTTTTGAAATAAACTGTGTGGAATGAATGATTTTTATAGGATTTTAACATTTATAGTTTTCATTTACCTTTTAAAATACATTTTACTTGCAAACAACTCCATAATTTAGAGGTATTGAACATTCTATAGATAATTGTATTAATTTTTCATTATTAGCAGGGCTGGTCCTAAGATTTTTGATGTCCTGTGCGAAAATAATAATAAAAAAATGCCCCTAAGTCTATTTTTTTTAAGTCAATGAAACAACGAAACATGCGATTATTTACAGAGTTTAGAGCCTATTCAAGCTAAGTGTTTCATCCCCATGTTGATTTTTATTAATTGTAATAAAAAATACAGGGAGGGGGACATAAAAACCAACACCCCGAATACAAAATATAAAATGATAAAAGAATAAATCCTGGATTAAGATGATGTTTCATTCTTTTCCAGTTTTCTCTTTTTCAAATTGAAATTAACAAATGGAAACTTTATTTCAATATATGAGACTTAAAAGACAAGGAAAACTATGATTTGTTTTTAACTAAAATAGTAAATTCCATCCGAATTACTATCATAATAAGCAAAAAGTAAACTCAAAAGTTACAGGTCTAACGACTAAATGCTAAGGGTCTATCTGTTAGCAGCTTAATAAGCTTAATGGAACTAACAACTTATTCGTTTAACTATGCACGACTGTTTCATAGTGGCTTAGTGATATATAAAATGACTTATTCAGTAAGCTTCTACGGGGAGCTTTTATATAAAGCCAAATTTTTTTTCTTCCAAACATGTCACTTCCAATTAAAAAAAAGTTCCTTACATCTCGAAAAAAACTCTCCCCAACAAAACTTTTTCAACTTATACATACAGATTAATTAATATAGACAACTTTATCCAAATAGAACTTAATAAAAAACCAATCAAACGGCCCCTAAATCTAATGCGGTAATGTCAAACCTCAAAGTAAACAAAAGTCAAAGGAACAATAATAAATGGTAAAATTCATAATCTATGTTAATGTGCATTGCGAATAACAAATACCCAATAACTAAGACAATATCACAATATATTGTTAATGTTGTGCAGTGTGCTCCAACTATGTTGATACAGTGATGCGCCATGTGCATTGAAAATTTCAATTCTCAGATATCTCAATATACAAGAGGAAGACTCGTTATCAAAATAACAAAAGCCCCTTAGCTTAGTAGGTCAGTAACCCACACGACCACATGACCCACATTTATTATAATCAGTTAAAAATTTAGATTTTTTTTGCAAAAAGATTTTTAAAGATTCGTAAATCATAATATGAATCACACAGCAACTCAGTAAGTTCAATCAACAGTAGAAATCAGTCATTCGAGATTTCCATCTTTGATTTATTGAATCTAATTTTATGACTGTTAATCGGGTGGAAAGAGAACTTCATGCCTTGAAAATCAAAATAGTCGAACTTTGAAGAACAATAGAAATTAGATTGAGTTGTTGGATTGATGGCATTAACCGGTTCACGATGTACATTCAGTATTCATTATTACTATCCCAGACTGTTTTTATAATTAAAATTTATTTGTCAAATTCTTAAATTATTAAATTCAAAACTAGATGACAATTTGATGTCAACACGGTGGGCGGCCCTGATTATTAGTTTACAAGAAAGTTTACCTTTCACTCGGTACATAACTATAACTAGTTGCAACGGTAGATAACCGGAAATAACATACAAAAGTAGTTTTGCCGGGAAAAAAGGAAATGCAAAATGATTGATCGGAGTCTCAGGATATGAACTTCGCACTCTGCTATACGGACCACCGGCACCTCGTTGCCGTCGCCTGTTGCTCGACGATCGGGGGAGAAGGCTCAGTCTACTCGACTAGGTTAATTGTTTTTCGCATTGAGATTCATCGTATCTAATTTCTCATAACCTTTTTGTCAATTTCACAATGGAAATTGAAAGTTCGAATTTCAATTTAGTTAATGTTACTATATTTCTCTTGATTATTTCAATCAGAAGTTATTTTAATTTGTAGTTTTTGGTTTGAATTTGAACTTAAAGATATGAATTACAAACCCTAAGTTGAAAACGATGCAATTGGGACATCTTGTATCGTATATGTGGAGATTGATATTGTGAATGATTGATCGAGAATTACTTCCTCCTTAACTCCTTTCTAGCTACAAAGCTATGCTTTTGAACTTTTTTACATCAGACCTTGTAACACCCCTGACCGCAACCAGGATAGGATGGCACATTCAACTGTCAAATAAGAAATATTCGTTAAAACTGTAATGCGACCCATAAATGTCATAGGTTTCTTTAATTAGTTATTATTGTTTTTGTACTGTTCGTATTACATCTTCTGTTGGGAATTTATTAATATCTGAGGTGAACTATTAATTGGATAGATGAGGATTATTTATGTGTGAATGTGTGTAGGTTTCAGAAAACAAATTCAGAGAACTAATCTCTACCCCTATTACTCCATCTGCTCAAGAAAAAAACATGACACTTCTCATTTTGTATTTTCATGGAAATAGCCTCTCTACTCCTTCAGGTAAAGGAAAGGATGTATACATCTTACCATCCTAATCCCACTGCATGTAGGATTTACTAGGTTCATTTGGTTTGGTTTGTACCCCATACCAATATGTCTAAATTGAATTGAATTTGCATTTTCAATCAAATGGTTACAGTAGGTTTTTGACCTCTTCGAGAGGCTGGAGCTCTCCCAGGCTATCGCCAAAACAAACTCCATAAATGAATCAACCCTACAACCTAAGTTTTCATCTGTTAATCAAATATCCGGAGTAAGATAGATTTGTTTCCCATGTTTTTGCTTGAGAAGATTATAGAGGGAGCTTTGAATTTATTACAAAAAATTCTAAGTATTATAAATTTACACGAGCAAGAGCGAGATCATCATTTTGTAAATGAGAAGTCACCATCTGTTGCGTTTTGGCCAGAAATATGGTACTTGAAACGGAATTAATTTTTGGTGTCCCATCAGAAAGAAAATTCTGCCAAGAAAACGAGTTAAGATTATGATGGATGAGGGGTTTATATGCTTTAATTTGAATTGCTATCAAGCCTTTGATACTGCTTCAATGACAATGGAAGCCGAACTATGTTCTACAACTTCAAGCATGCCATATTGGCTTTTAACAAAAAATCCATCTTTTGGTGGTTATTAGGTCCTACCGTCAATTTATGTCTGAAATGTTCATGTCATTTTGTAGCATGTGGTAAGTACCTTGCTTGGATAGTTGTAAGGTCTTTATGTAGTTGATCAAGACTAGCTTTGATATTATTACAAACACTTTGGAAAAATAACGAAAACCTCGCTAGAAAACATAATTTGCAACTTCTTGATTTCGTATTTGTACGTATTGTTTAGTTCATAAATTATTTGTCCGTGTTCTTGTGTTTTCCAAGAACTTTCTATCTGATACATATTTTTTTTAAGATAATAATCACTACACAGGAGATGCTGCGATAGGACTGCGAACAATATGGATGCCATCACTCCACGTGAGCCACCCAAATGAGTACATACTTTTCTTCACTGTCCCAATCTGCCTATCTTCTTTTGCTTCCACCGTTAACTCAAAACTCTTCTTCTCGCCTACATGCTTAAAGTACATAATAGGTGGAGACACCTTCACAGAGATTCCAGAGGGCGGTTCCACAGTGGCAAAATAAACACTTCCTTTGCCCCCAACATTCGTGACAGTTCTCCTCACTGTCACCCTGCCATTTAGTTTTGGGAAACCAAAAGATGGGTAGTTCAGATTTTGAGTCGAGGGTGTTGTTTTGGGGCATAAGAAAGGTGTGTTGGCTCCTAAATCACCATGACTGCAAAGGAACAACAGGTAATCATTGTAGGAAGCATCGTAGACAAGTCCAGGATCAGCTGCCTTTTCTGGCCTGAAATGACCTGATCCAAACTGGAATGTATCTGCCTGATTGCCTGATGCATCAGTTATTTGCTTCCCCTCATTGTTAAGTAGTCCAGCTGTGAATCAAATCAAAAAATTAAAAAATATGTCATTTCCCAAACTATCAAACAATAGTTGCGTTATTCACATTGTTTGACTCGTGCTGCAGAAGTTGTACCAGAGGTTATAAGGGCAGATTTTATGGCGGCACTGCTCCAATCAGGGTGAATTGCTTTGAGCAGTGCAGCTGCAGCGGATACGTGAGGGCAAGCCATTGAAGTTCCTGAAAGTATGTTGTACTTTACCCTTCGATGGTCACTCTCTATCTTTGTTGGAGAATTACCTTCTGTCCAGGCTGCCAATATATTCAACCCTGGTGCAGCGATATCAGGCTGCTCAAAAGCCCAAAATTATCAATCATATTACATTTACATTGTGATCTTGAATCTGGGAAGAAAAGAAAAGAAAGGAAAAGAAGTTTTTTATTTGTGTTCTTGAAAGGGAAGAGAAGGAATGGAAAGGAAACCTTTTCTATGTTCTTGAACCAGAGCAAATAAAGGAATAATGTCATTGTTTCAAATATACCCTTTATATTTATTTTTCTCACTTTTCCTTACGCTGGAATTTTTGTCATAAAAGATCATAGACTCCTTTCTTTGACCTTTATATATGTTTTTCTCACTTTTCCTTAAGAGGGTATTTTTGTCATAAAAGATCATAGGCTCCTTTCACATTTTCTTTGCCTCCCTTTCTTCCCACATTTGGGAGGAAATGTTAATGATATTTTCCCTCCCATTCCTTGTATTTCCTTCCTAAAAGGTTCAGAGAACACGAGTGTTTTTTGTTTTCCCCTCCTTTTGCTTTCTTTTCCTAAAAAAATAGGTTTCAAGAACACAGTGTTAAAGCCCTCAAAATGGGTGTTTGTTTCTGTGGCTTTTATCAATTACCTTGAGAATCTCAGGAGAAACCGCACTTGGACCCCTACTTGAAAAGGCAGCCATTGATGGAGCTGGTTTAGCTTGTAATACAGTTCTTCCTGGATAGATATATGCTGTTGAGGTTCTTGTGGAATTGATGTATTTTAGAATCTGTATTGCATCCTCTGATGTAACTGCAGTTGCTGGAAGAACATGAGCATCTACGGTTAACTCAGCTCCGTTGGCTGGGCTGTTTCCTAAGATGTACCCTATACCGCCAGCCCTCTTTACCTCCATCCCTTTTCCGACTCTTGTACCGTTACCTCGCAAGCAAAAGACGATCTTTCCCTTGGCTTTTATAGATGATAAAGAACCAGGTAGACATTGACTGCATGATTTCAGGATTCATCATATTGTGATTGTTATTTTGCTTACAAATTTCATTTTTTAGTATGGGAACATAATTTAAATTAGTTACCCTGCTATATATGTTTTAGGTACATCTGCATTCACAACATCTGCTGCATAAACAAGTTGATACATTTTCCTCTGTGGTAGCTTGTATGGAGTTGCTGACTGCCCCTGTTAGAAAGAAAGGTTTGGCTTTTATTAGTTTGAAAACTTGACCTTTTTGGTTTAGGTGATTTAAATTTGTACTCCCTTATCAAAGTAAGTGTCCACATTTCTATTTTATTTTGTCGCAAAATTAGTGTCCACTTTCAAAAGTAAGTGCCTACTTTCCATTTTTCCAACTCTACCCTTAATTATGAGATGGAGAAATTCATTACACCTCTATATTAACGGTAAAATGTCATTTAGTTAGTTAAAATGTGTAACAACTACAAATTTCTATTTTAGTTTGTCCCAAAATAAGTGTCCACATTTCTATTATAGTTTGTCCCAAAACAAGCGTCCACTTTCAAAAGTAGTGCCTACTTTCCAATTCTACCCCTAATTAATCAGAATTTCGTTACTCTCTCTAGAATTACTAAATTAAGGGTGAAAATGTAATTTAGTTAGTTAAAAAGTGTAACACTTGTACATTTCTAAAACTGTGTGCCTTTTTCATTATGGAAATTTATTTTGGGATGGAGGGACTATTTTGATGTGTTTATTGGTCTTATTTATGGATGCAAGGGGAAACGAAGATGATATCTAACACGTAACATAAAAAATGGAGTTTAGATATTGACCTTGATTTTTTTGCCATTTCCTAGCTGAACTGGAGCAACAAAAGTGCGATCAATGGAACTTGCTGCAACCGTGAGAATCCATGGGGCAGTGTTAACCACTGTCGATGGAGCAGGGCCTTCGTTACCTCCGCTACATACCACCAAAATGTTATTTTTGGTTGCTTGAAGGGCTCCAAGGGCAAGACCATCGTGTGTGTAATTGATGGGTCTTGATGATCCGATAGAAATGCTCAGAATATGAACACCATCACGAATGGCATCATCGAAAGCGGCTAGCATGTCTTCAAACAGGCATGTGTTCCCCTCTTCTTTACCTTTTCCTGGTACTGGCCAGCAGACTTTATAGATCGCCAGGCGAGCCAGTGGTGCACCGCCAAAGGCGGTCCCACTGGAAAATCCACCGAGGGCAGAGACGTTGGGCACACCTTGGCCTCCAACAGTCGAGGCTGTGTGGGTCCCATGCCCATCCATGTCACGTGGGGACCGGCTATCGTTGGTGGTATTTAGATGCCCATATCGTGCTTCATAACCTTTGAGGTAATATCGAGCTCCTATTAGTTTTCTGCCATAACACATTGTCATTATAAGTAAGATTCATATATACTGTATTTCATTTTGCAACTATTTTTTAACTTTGAGAAAAAACAAACGAGCCTAGTATATCCCAACCAGAGGTGGGGTCCCGCGCCCTGGGGGTTGTTGTACACAAACATGACCTCTACCCTAAAGACCAGAGAGAGCGGTTGTTTCTGCGAAGGCCTCTGACCAGTGAAAAGTGTGTAAAAGTGAAAAATACAGATAAGCTAAGATTTGAAAAGCTAGATGCAAGTAAGAAATGACAATACAAATAGAAAGAGAGAACAACAGGTATGCCAAATTTTGAGAAAGCATATTTGAGTAAGCAACAACAAAATATATAGAAGCAAGTACTGGTAACATAACTATTGACTCACTGACCCTATCCCCTACTCTCTATCTGTCCGGCTCCCTTCTTGCCGTCCAGATTCCCACCGTTAGTCTATTATCCTAGTCTTGCGTCTCCAAGAGTTCCTATCAGAAGTCATGTTCTTTGAAATGCCTAAAATGGCCATGTCAAATCTCAGTTGCTCATCCCACGTCCTCCTCATGCTACCCCTTCTCCTCGCCCCTCAACTGTCCCACTTTCTACCCTCCTCAGTGGAGCCTCCATCTGTCTCTTATGAACGTGACCGGACCACCACGATCTTCCCTCCCTCAACTTCTCCGTGATAAGTGCAATTCTTAACACTGCCCGGAAGACCCCGTTCGGTATTTTGTCAAACATGGTTCTACCATAAAGCATTCTCATTTCTGCAACCTCCATCTTCTTCTCATGTGCCTTTGTTATCCCCCAAACAACCCATACAACATAACTGGTCCGATGGCTATCCTATAAAATTTGCCTTTCAGTTGTAGTTGGATCTTCGTATCACACAACACCCCCATGACAACTCTTCACTTTGGCTACACCGTCTTTACGTGATGTGTTATAGCATCCTCTCGACCTGACCTCCCTTCTGAATTATGGATCTTAGATTTTGAGAAACTTGGTATTATTATTAAAATTCAATCATGAATCAACATTGTTTTATGCCATTTTACCACTATGAATGAAACAATCTCTTACCATTTTAAACCTTGAAGTGGTTTGGTGGATTCATACAAGTCAAAATCACTCGTGCCACATCCATTTTGTATATAATTTTCATTTCTTCTTGCTTATATAGACGTATATTAATTTCCAATCTTATTTCTTTTTTAAGTATATAGTATTTATATCCAGCAAATGAACGACAAATAAACACATGCACCTTCTTCGCCTTTGGCGATGTTTGAACCGCAGACCTCCTGAAAAGGCTGCGTCTCTGCATGCCGCTAGACCAAAGACTATTCGGTTTCAATCTTAATTTTTGAAGTTAACAAGTCGTTTGTTTGACAGTGAGAAATGGAATCATGACACCTATGGCCTTTGTTTTGTTCTTTATCAAGAGATATGCTAAACATTTGATTAGTAATAAAATATTTTAATATGATTAATAATAAAATATTTTTATTAAATGTGTTTCAAGTTAAAATATTGCATCATAGTGTCTCTGTTCCAAAAATAAATACAGTTTTTAATTTGACACAATATTTTTTAAATGTTTGAATTATTTGCCTTATAATTTGTTTTAAGTGGTTTGATGTTTTAATATTTTATTTGTTAGTTGTATATAAGAAGCTCATATATATAAGCCCGTGGGCTTTTAGGTTTAGGGTTTAGGCACTCTGTACTATCCTATATAAGTAGCTTAGGTTTTCTCCTTTTCTTGTAACGTT